ACAAGAATACCATAGCGTTTCGTCTATATTAAGCTTGAGCTATGACGAGTTGCCATATCATTTAAAGCCATGTTTTTTGTACTTGGCCCATTCCCCGGAGGATCATGAGATAAAGGTCAGCATATTATGTCATACGTGGATAGCAGAAGGTTTCATTTCATTCGATCAACAAACACAGAGTTCAATGGATGACGATGTAGCATATAATTACTTGACGGAGTTATTGGACAGAAACATGATTCAAGTGGGAAGATTGGATCCAACTGGAAGAATAAAATCATGCCGCATTCATGATCTCATGAGGTATATGAGTTTGTTCAAAGCTCGAGAGGAAACGTTTTTGCAATTTTTTGATCTGAGGAGTAGAGACAAGTTATTGCCAAGAAATAAGTTACGGAGACTTGCCATCTATACTGATCATGTTTTTGATGATTTACTTCCCTTTATTAAAGGCAGATATGGCTCTCTTAGGTCTCTCATATATTTTCAATCTTCGGGATCTGAACCTTCGGAGAAAGTATTGAAACTTTTTTTGAATCACTTTAAGTTCCTTATAGTTTTGAGACTCGAATCTTTCGGTTTAGATACTCATCATTCATGGAAGTTGCCTAAGGAAATTGGGAAACTTGTCCACTTAAGGTTGTTCAGTATTCGTGGTAGCCCAGTGGAAAAGATCCCAGCTTCTATTGGGAATTTGAGACGCCTGGAGACTTTAGATTTGAGGTCATATTATGTAGAAATAGCAAATGAGATATGGAGGTTGGAGCAATTGCGACGTTTATACTTACCTACCCGTGGTACGTATAATATTTTCAGCAAAGATCGTTTACGACTACCCAATGTCAAGAATACTTTGCAAACATTGTGCAATGTTTACACAGAGCATGTTGATGTAAATGATTTTTTGCAACTGACTAATCTCAAGAAATTAGTACTCGTGGTGGGTAAAGACTTGGGGAGAATCTACCACAATTGCACAGGCGTCAAATTTACTTGCGTCAGCTCTCTATCGTTGTTGGCTGAAAACTATTCGCACAATGCTGGAGAAGACCGGGTTGATATTATACCTGTAATATCATGTTATCCTGAAATTTATGAGCTTAAAGTGCGCATGCCAATAATAAGGTTACCAGAAGAAAACCAATTCTCCCAAAAACTTGTGAGGTTATCATTAGAGTTGACGGCTCTCAAGGGTGACTCAATGAGGACGATAGAAAAGCTGCCCAATTTAAGGGCCCTCCACTTTGGTAAGTATAGCTTCATAGGGAATGAGGTGGTGGCGTGCTCAAAAGGTGGTTTCCCTCTACTTGAATCTCTTTCCTTTGATAACATCTTGAAAGAGTGGATGATAGAGGACGGAGCATTAACTAGTCTTTGCTATCTGAGCATTCGTGATTGCTATCGCTTGAGGAAGCTTCCAGATGGATTAAGAAACATCACAACTCTCAAGGAAGTGAAGATTGAAGGGTGCCTAGAATTGAGAGAGAGATTAGAGGAAGGAGGAGAGGATTTCTACAAAGTCCAACATGTGCCTTCACTTGTAATCACTTAAAAGGTACTTTTTTCATTCACAGTCCCCTCTACTTAAACTCAATACTCTAAGGTCTCGTTCACTTCGCGGATTCGAGTTGAGATGTGACATTTTCTAAGAGCTTTTCACTATAACAAAAAAAGTTAGATGTGACATTTTCTGAGAGCTTTTTACTGTAGAAACTTAAAACTGAAAACTCAAATCGGTGAAATGAACGAGACATAATTCTACGTAGGATTTTGTCAGCACACTTCGAACAATAATACTTATATTTATCTGTCTACCCTATATAGGCCTTTTCGTAGACCTCTAATGTTTAATAATTTGTCGTGCGTGCAGTGAGAACATAAGGTGAATATAAATATATGTTTGAGTGGAGCTTTGACCAGAATAAGAGCTTGGACCTTGGGCCCCTGCTGCCATTATCGGAGTTTCTTCTTTGTTCCAATAAAATATATATTTTTAATTATGAATTAGTGTACTTAGTTATATATTTACCGTTGTTGGATATATATATATATATATATTCATATTTTGAACCTAATTTACAAGCATAAGGAGCTTTAATTGTGAATTAATGTACTTAGTTTTTTCTCTTTATTGTACTTGTTGGTACTGGTTTGAGATTTTTAATACTTTATAAGACAATATAAATAATGTAGAGACGTAAAATAAAAGAACACGAGAGAAATGGAATCGCGGTTCGGTCACAACCTACTCCGCGGGGCCATGCCCAGATGATGAACAATCCACTAAGAACTCTTTTACAATTCAACCCGAGACTCTCTCTCTAAGAAGACGCCTATGAACTTGCAATTTCCCAATGAACTTGAAGAGCGAGATCCCCTCGACTTTTTAACATTGGAATCCCTCCAACTAAGTTTGTCTCCCGAAAAACACTCAAATCATCTCTCTGAATACAAGTGCACACTCCTGTCTCACAACCCAGCAAAAACTCATCAAAAGGCATGCAATAACTCGAGAGACTCTTTGAATAAATAAGCAAAAATGTTAACATCTTTGACGACCTCTTCAATTAATTCGCTGAACCAAATTTGTTGCAGATCCTTGTTGTAACAATAACTGCAACATAGCTGTCAAGACCAACTTTCTCAAAACCAGCCCGAATCAAACTCCTTTAATTCTGAAACCTTCCCAAACTGATATAAGAATATGGACTCATTCCTAGGAGACAGAGGAAGATCATCCAGCCATGAAAACTCAATCAAATCACAAATTATCAATTTACCATCTTTGGATCAATAGTTGACTTTCAAAAACAGAAACTATATTAAGTTTCCAGATCTTGCAGAAACCTTTCATAAAGAACTTGTCAGCTGCTCATCTATTCTCAAACATGATCAACTAGCCAATCATTCTCAAAATACAGTCAATCATTCCTAAAATAATGCCAATCATAAAACGATTAGAATCAATACAGAATTTGGGAAACAAATCCCAACAATCTCCTCCTTTGACATTATTTTGGCAAAACTAATATTGGAAACTAAAATAAAATAACTTTCGTAAACTCCCCCTGAACTTTAAACATTATAGACTACCTACTCTCCCTTTTTGACAAAAATAACCCAAAAATTCTAGAAATTGTTGTCATGACCGAGAAATTTATCATATTTCATAGAATCCTTTATATCATTAATATAAATACTTTTATGATAAGTATTTGTTGATATAATTATGGAATAACAAGTTATAAGCTAAAGTTCAGAAATTTCTGAACTACGATGTAGTTACCGATTTTCAGATTGTATTTAAGAAAGAAGTATAATTATGGAATAGCAAGTTATAAGCTAAAGTCTTGCTGCGCTGTGACCTACAATATGAAAAGCATTGAAAATTTAGAGATACCGTGGCACCGTGGCCCCCATTAATTAGTTATATATGACCCTCCCCAAGTGAGACCCAACATACCGTTTTGGTCACAGCATTTAAAACATAAAAATTTCGAGGAAGTGTGGAGGAACAAGCATTGAAAGTGGTATAAAGTATTTTCTTTTGGTAGACCAAATAGTAAAAGACTTTCCAATTTTTTCAAACATTCTGTTTATCTTCATTGTTTTTCTTTTTCTTTTTCTTATTCGGACGGAAAAAAAGAGTTGGTTATTGCTTTAAGTTGTAAGAAAATATGATTTAGAGGTTGCATTTGCACAAACTCATAAGATTTAACTAAAGTTACCGTTTCAATGAGATAATTGATAAACGGTAGACTAAACATCCTGTTTGTACCAGCATTCGAAGGAAAGGTTATTATGAGACTATGAAAGAAATGAAACCGTGACTGAGTTGGATTGGTTAGCTACTCCACTCCTCACTGGTTATGCGCGCTATGGTACAACAGGACAGGGCCCATAAGAAGTAAAAGATAAGAAAATGAAAAACAGAAACCATTCCATATAAAGGTACGGTATCTGTAAAGAAGAATGAAAAGAATGAGAAACACGAAATGAAAGTCATTCAGAACGTGAAAATACGATGTGAACGACTAAAATGAGACGAAAGCAGAACAAAGAATGTATTGAAAGAAGAAGAACATAAGCCATACATGTTTTAGTAGTATAGAATGTATTATGATATATGACATGAATGCATATATGGGTATGCATAATTATTGCATCTGTTATGACCTATTGATACTTGCTGAGTGAAAGCTCATTATGTTTGTTCGTGTTGTAGGAAGCTCGGGTAAGGCACCGGCTCCCTGAAACTTGTTGTTGGGCATACAGAGAGGATGCAGCAGTGGAGTGTGGGCAAGTGGGTTGTGGACGACGCATCATGTGTTTTGGAAACGCTGCTGAACTTTATATGTAAAATAAAATAGTGTTTTATGTATTTGATGACTAGTGTAATAGAATGTTGTCAGAATGCTACAGCATTTTAACGTACATGGTAAGATTAAAAAAAAATGGCCTGAAATTTTAAGAAGTTATAATTAGGGTCGTCATAGAGGTTAAGAAATGCTAAATATGAGTATAGGATAACGATCAAAAGTTAGGGTCGTCACAACATATCAATTGTTATTAGTATCTACCAAGCTGGCAATAAAATTACGTCTACAACATAATTCATACAATGTCCAAAACCTTAACATTCAAAACAAGTAAAGAAAGGTTGTTCTGGCTATGCTTCCATGTTTATTTTAGTTATATATCCTTTCAATTATACTGTTCTATATGCAGTAAAAAGAGAAGAAGTACCTAAAGATTGCTGCATTTTGGTGAAGTGCTGCATTTTGATACTTGTCTCGTGATACCAAAACAGATATCGAAACCAGGAATCACCCAAATGAACCGAGTTAAATTGAAGTAAATAGCAGATGAAAAGACTTTATGGTTTTTCACAAAGGTAGTTTTCTGTTACCTAACATTAGCATTAGTTTGGGACTCAGAAGATGTTGATTTCTTCGCATAGATTTTCCTTTCTTTAGGGAAAACAAGAGTTTCCCCAAAAAAGAGTTGACACTGCTGTTATTGATGATGCCTAATAAATCGGCTGCTGCTCGGAGACCAAGACTTCTAAAATCTGCCATATCAGCACTGAGTTTCCTAGAATGAATATTTGGATAATTTTTCATTGTACTTAAATGGTTTGACTATAAGTCATTTCCTTATTGGATGGTGTAAATATGTCAAATAAGTTTATATACAAATAGTAACCAAGTACTCAGATACCAAAGGTCCAAAACTACTATTTCTTTGTCTTCAGTTGGCTCATGAATTGCTCAAATGTGTAAATCATCTGATTTTCTTTTCGTGATCATGTCAAGTGGTTCTCAATTGAAATTCTTGTGTTTTCTCCGTATAAATAACACATTGCTTCCGTATGTATTTGATGTTGGAAAAAAACACACCTTTACACTCATGCAGAAAAACAATAAATTAAAACAAACATAACAAAAAAACAGATAAAACACAGATTTAAGTAGTTCCGAAAAATTTCCTACATCTACGGGAGAGGGAGAAAAAATTCAATAACAGTTTCAGAATTACATACTCAACACACTTCTCACTTTCTCTCTCTACCCAAAATCCCTTATACCATTGCCTATCTCTCTCTTCACTTTTCCTTATTTCTCTAAAAAAGAGACCTCTTTCTCTGCACTATTCTCTGAGTACACATAAAGTCTTATACAAAACACTTATTTATAGATTTCAAATAAACTATAAAATAACCCTTGCGTATTTACCAGACCTAAGTAGCAATATAACTTTATTATGTGAAAAATA